ATATATATATATATATATATATATATATATATATATATATATATATATATATATATATATATATATATATATATAATAACCACAAACACATCAACTTTATCTAAACTGAAATGTATTATACACAATAATTTTCCTGTTCCAAGCAATTATTCTTTTCAATACTTCTCAGGTAGATGACATGAATACTAGCAAACGAGGAATAAATTACAAAGGACCAGCAAGAAATATGAATCTGGATAGCAGTGATTCACGGACAAACAATTCATCAAGCTTTACCTTAATTTCTGCACTAAATAATTATCAATTACACCAGCAGGAGGTATGAAATAACCAAAGCATTGGCTTTATTTGGTATTTAGAAACAAGGATTGTAGCTGGAGACCAGCTTCTAGCACAAAGATGCTGCTCCTTTTAGATTAAGAATAATAAACCAATGCTTGGTTATGGCAGATACAGGATGTTAGTGAAACAAGAGGCTACTAGTTATGCTAACTATGTGATAAGCTAGAAGCAGAGGTCACAGAAAGCAGAGAAGAGAAAGAGAATAAGGCAAAAAGGATTCCTTTAACTTAGCTGACCAGCGGCATGGTCTCAGTTCATAAAACCATCATTCAGAGTCCAACAACAGCATTGTATGCTCATCATTCCAGTTCAAATAACGCTATATACTTTCAGCAGGAAAATTCTAGCAAAAACGTCTCCCGGTCTAAGCATCAGCATTTGACTCTACTTCTAGGTTAACTACCTACCCAGGCACGATTTAAAAGTATCAAAGAGAAAGCAAAATGAAAGGTTTAACTTTTGGTCATTTTATTTTCGAAACAGGACCCTGAGGTCTCGTTTTCACATCTGTGGAATTGCAGGAGCTTCAGTTCAGTGGGATAGAGAAGTAATTACCGGTCGCATTGCTCGGCCAAAGTAAAGTTTCTGTGTCCACTCCACTCTGGAAAGGAGGAGGAATGGCATGTTCCCATAGATCTCCACGAATCTTCTTTGCTCAGGGAGACATCAACTTCGGTCGGGAGAGACTTTAATCGGGTTAATGTTGGGAAGCCTGTGGACTGTCCACTAATGCGGCTACAAGCTTCTTCTTCAAAGAAATGAGGAAGTTACAGTCTTGCAGCTTTGCCAGTGAGGATGCAGCACACCCCTGGTTTAACTGCGGGTTTCCAAACAAGCAGAGCTTCACCTGAGAGATGTCCCTTTGGAGCCATGTTAAGCAGCAAAAAGAGGAAATATTGAGCTCTCTATGCCTTTTTGTAACCTGTGGTCTGAAGTAAAAGCTGCAAGGCATGCTGGAGGCTGTAGTTAGAGTCAATTCATGAGTATTCTGGTACAAAACTTATCCTGATGAGTTTTAAATATCTCCCAAAGATATGTGGCAACCTGGCCTATGAAGTGATAAAATGTGTTGGTGTTAAGATTGCAGGAAGGCTATGCTTGAGGGTTATACACCTAAAACTAAATATTTTTCCTTAGCATTAAAAACTACAGGACAGGTATGAGGTAGACATTTTTTTTGAGAAATCTAAAGCAAAAGTCTGTTCCAGTCAATCGGGAGTTGTTTAGTATGCACAGCAGATATAATACAAGCTGCCAAAGTTGCTTCAATAACAGTAAATAGGAAATGTTTAAGACAGTGTGGCAGGACTCAGGGAGGAATTTTATGGGTTTGTTTTGTGATTTGCATCCCTGTTTCCCTCATTATTTCCAGAGTACTGTGACAGTGCTGTAAATAGAAAGTGTTCATGCTGCTCTGATCCCTAGATGTCAAAAGTTTGGATAAAGACTTCATCTTAAGAATTAGTTTTAGCAATTTGATTGTCCCAAAAGAAACCAAAACCAATTTGTTCTTTGTTTTTTTTTGTTTTTTACTTTTTTATAGTATTTCAACTCAAGGAAATATAAATGACCGTATTTCCACTAACTTTGCAGTTTATTTGCTTTTATCTTTCAGGTGTTATGGGTGAATATGAGCCAAAGATTGAAGTTCAATTTCCAGAGGTTATCCACGTAGCCAAAGGATCCACTGTAAAGCTGGAGTGCTTTGCACTTGGAAAGTAAGGCAACAAGTATCAAGGAGCGAGCACAACATAATTTAATAATTAAAACTTTTTAAAAGATTACGCTTTCTTCCCTACTTAAGTTTAGTACTGCAACTGCACTGATCCCTGTGTTTTTCAAGCTTATTTTATTTTTTTTACACCATAGTGTTCTGAAGCTTGAACTTCTAAATTTGAAAAAAATTAAAAACAATTTTTTTTTCTGTAAATTTAAACACATTGACTTGAAAAATGAGAAAATGTGATCACCATACACAGTAGAAACTAACTAATATTCTTTAACTTCTGCTAAATCTGGTCATTCTGTCATAGTCTTGATATATTCCATACATTTATTGAAAATTGGGCTGTGTTTGGTTGGACTGATTTTGTCCCACTTAAGACCAATAAAGTGGGAAAACGATCTGAAAATTAGCTCTTTTCACCGTTCACTTCTCAAGCAAATGTAGACATTGTTTGTACAGACTGTAAATCATGTCTTCTTTTCAATGTCTTTTCAACCAATTTTTCTTGGTGGGGAACTGCTTAAAAAGGCACCTTCACTAAATAAGCCTTTAAAATGGTAGGAAAAAAACATAGAAATATCTATTGACTTAAATCATGCTTGGTGATTTGAGTACATTAATGACAATTTACTCTCATAACATAAAGTCATTTTAAATGAAAAGTCAAACAATATCTCACAGTTTAATAATTGGGTACAAAATGGAGTATTTACAGCTGCAGATTTGAAATAAGGGAAGAATAAAACTTTGAAAAATGTTCTGGGTAGCTGCGGCAAGCAAAGACTTTAAGTAAAAATGTAAACATGCCTTAATACTTTATTGGGTAATTTTCAGATCAGAAACACCTCACACGTTTTGTTTTTTTCCCAGTATGTGACTACACGTGAAAATCACTGGGGGGGTGGCACCTCTACTGTCACTGTTATTTTAACATGTAAATAATCAACAGCTTTGGTGTAAATTACGTGCAAAAGCTACAGCAGTTTAAAAATGTCTAAAATTGCCTCAACATAAAGTACTGTGATCTTTTTTAGATTTGCATAATGGCTATAAAAGGCTGCTAATTTCTCTTTCATAATTTGCCAAACAGTTAGTTTCAGCCTCTGGGACTAGCAAATCTTGATTTATATCAAACTAGCATTTTACATTTTTTCCTTATACCTTCTTAAAAGAAGTTTTCTTAAAAAACAAACTCTCTTCTTTAAATCAAGTTTCTAAATGATTCTTAATTGAGTTTTTAAATATCCCCACGGTACCCTTTCCAAGTGTACAAATCCTTGATAATTGGAAACTGCTACAAATCTGATTGGTCCAAACAGTCCCTGGCATGTGTCTGTACATCTGCCCTAACCCCTAAATCCCTCAATCGCTATATAGAGCGAGGAGTATATAGTGGACCTTATAGTGAACTCAGTTAACTGACAATTTCGGACAGATGATCACTAGTTTTCGCTCTCCGTTGGTCACGTACATCAGACACCCCGCACGGTGCCTATGCCATCATTATTTGTCGCTGTCATAACAAATCCCATGATGCTTTTCAAGGAGAGCTCCCCTTTGCAAAGCATTCCAGGATATATCTGCTCGTCTATTGACCATGGATGATCACTACTTCTCAAGGTGCATTGTGGGAATTTTTAAGTCATTTAAAATGGCGTAGCCACTATAAAGTGCCCTATACTGTATAGTGATTAGGGCAGACGTTTTATTAACTGGGCACTTAGGGCCGGATCTATCAAAGGTCTGCATGTATAAAAACGTGAGTATTTCACTGCGCACGCTAAAAAATGTACAAAGTGATCTATCAACAGCGTGCTAAAAGGATTTGGTCTTTAAAACGTGCTAAATAGCGCCTCTTATCCATTTAGTACTTTTTCTGCAATGAATATGCAATATGGGGTGTTTACACGCAAAAGTGCGTCTTGTGGGAGGAGAACATGTAAATATATTAATTTAGCACTCGCAAAGTGATTTATCAAACCTGAAAGCAATTTTGCTAACGGTATCTGACTCTATATTTAACACGTTTCAAAAGAAGGTGCAAATGGTCTGTATGCGTAATTGCGCACACATGGCAGCGGTTATTGTCGCAAGAAGGAGACATCAAAATGAAGCAAGGAGACACAGAGAACGCATTTTTTCACTCCGTGTGATTATTTTTGCAATGAACGAGGAAACGATCATCAAAACATATCGTTTATCCAGCATTGCCATTTTGGAGCTGTTGGGGGAACTCCGAATGGATTTGGAGCCAGCCACAAGGAGGACCCACGCAATACCAGATATCCAAAACTCCTTGCAACGTTGCACCTTTTTGCATCTGGGTCATTCCAGCGTACGGTTGCAGCGAGAGCTGGGATCTCCCAATCTCGTTTTTCAGAAGTGCTGTCCGAAGTGCTGTCCAACGGGGTCGGGGTTCTCCCCCTGCGCCTGTGGAGCCAATACAAAACACCTGGTTTTTTTTTGTTTTTTGTTTTTTTACTGCAGTGAAGTAGACATTCAGCCACATACCACCTTAGGGAATAAAGGTTGCCAAAGTTTTTTCTTTATATATATATATATACGCAATCACTCTTGTTAAATCACTCGCAAACCATGGTTCAGCCCCTCGCGCAAAATTCCAGTTTGCGAGCGCAAATTACTGCATGCAAAATTGGATCTTGATAAATCTGGCCCTTAGCTGGCATTATATTGTATGTTTGATGTTAAGGCCAATAAATGTATAAATAAAAAACATAGCCAGGAAAGCTGCCATTTCAGTGGCTGCCTTGTATGAACACTGAATCGACTTTTAGTGTTGGATCTGCATTACAGACCTTAACACAGAAAGCTATATTTAGACTACTGATTTTTAAGATTTTCCAAAGTGCATATTGCAATCTCTTTTAGGCATGTCCAATCTCTTAGAGATGTCCTTAGACCAATCCAGTAGACCCAAAATATCTATTGTAAACATTTTGTTGTATCGTTTAAAAGTACACATTGCTCATCAAAGATTTTATAAACACTTTCAACTGTTGATACATAAAGACCTCATCACTTATTTTCCCAGCCCTGCACCCACCATTGGTTGGAAGAGGGTGGATAATGTACCCTTCCCCAGGAAAGTGGACATGAGGAAGGCCAGCGGTGTCCTAGAAATCCCATATTTCCAACAGGAGGATGCCGGCACATATGAATGTGTGGCTGAAAACTCCAGGGGGATGAACACAGTGAAAGGGAAGCTCTCTTTCTACGGTAGGTGGCCTGTCATGCATGAATATTTGACCATAGTGTGGTACATCTGTCAGATCTGCTCAAACTGAGTGGCAGAAAAAGCAGACACAACTGTTCTTACATTGTAGGCAGCAGAGATCAGCACAAGACTGTTTAGAACACAAAAGCAAAGAGGCTGGTTTTAACAGCACATCAAAATGATTAAAGCCTTTCAGCCATGATGCCTCTAATATTTTGATCCAGATTATAGGAGTGGCGCGGATGATAGTGAGTCCTTGGATTTGACCTTGTTGGTGAGCTTCTCATTGGTTTCCACCAGATGGCATAATGATTGACATCCAACTTGACAGAAGATCAAAGCTGTTAAATGTATCATACATAGAGCAGTGACCCATATGTCAGGGACATAATCTGCATAGCAGCATCTGGATCATCAGAAAGAGGATTTACCATCATTGTTGGAACTGCTGCAGTTACTGGTACTCTGGTTTTATGAAGCTAGATGCTACCCAGAGAAGAGTTTTAAAACCAAACAAAATCAAAATGAAATCAAAATTAGATATATAAATGTCACCAGGCAATAATTTCTTAAAAGTTTATTCGTTTTTAGCAGCAGTCTATGGGTCCTTTTATCAAGTAGAAACAAAACTATTCAAAACAAACTCAATGTGAACAATTACACACCAAGTTATGCAACCCTTGGTGACAATGCCACTAAGTTTGGTGCATGTGCAGTCACTCATATCTGTGGGAAAGTTTAGGGCTGTTTCTCAATTCACGAGAAGGTAAGTCCGTACGCCAAGTCCGGTCTTGGAAAGAGCACAGGAAAGTCTGAACTTGGCGAGAATGGGAGCCCACAGCATAAATCTGGGTCAATTGGAACAGATGCTCCGCTCATCTAGAGCTGCATTTCACCTCCTGTTATTAATATTCTCTAGATAATAAATTCGGACTTTTTTCATTTAGTGGGGTAATAATAATTAACACAGCCAGATAAACTAAAATCAAATTAACATTTTGCCAAAAGAAACAAAACAAAAAAATCGCTTTAAAGTATAATATTATCGCCTCAAAATATCTTAAAACCTACTTTTATTGAACAACAGCAACAGAAAAGAGAACTTGTAACTTTCAATGGAGCGCTCCATTGAAAGCTTCTGCTGCCGCAGTGCTTGCTAGGAGAGCTGTCAAACTCAAGAATGGACAAGTCTGCTCTGATGCCTACTCGATAAAGAGGACGGGGCAAGAACAACATCCGGGGATTTGGTGCGTTCTCGGTCCGGCTTTCTCTGCAAATGGAACAGTCCTCAGGCTGAGGCTGATGACGAGCACACAAGCACATGAGAACGCTCAAGAACGCATATTGAGAAACAGCCTAGGTCTACTTTTCTTTTGAATTTTGTTGTTATTCAACTTCATTTGAGATTTTTTTAGGATTATGAGTAAGGCCATGCTTTAGCAAAGCAGTCGGATTTAAATCTGCACTGTATTCACGCCACAGCAAAATCTTAATTTGTCCTTAGCCATTTAGATTTGGACTTTCTGGTATACTTCAGATCATTGTCTTGCTGTATAGTTCAGGCCTATAGGTTTTATGGCAGATGTAGTCCCTGAAGGCCCTGTCACACCTTAACGATTTGGACTAGCGTATGCTAGCAAAAACGTGGGCATATGTTAGATAAGTTATGGGTACATTTTGTATAAGTTATGAGCACGCTGATGTATGCTGAAGCATGTAGAGACACATTGACACAAAAACTACAGTTCTTGCTAGGATCTTTTGCACTCTTTTGTACGAGATTTCAAAAAATGCTCTTAGGTAGCCTCATATTGTCTTTAAAGCAATATGAAGAATGTGTAAACCTAAAAATGTTTTTTTCCTTTATAATGTTATTAAGAAAGTCTTTTTGCAGCTCCTCTTTCTTGTCACGCTTTAAGAAATATTTCCAGATAAAATATCTCTTGCAACTCTCTGTGATCATTAGCACAGAGTAAGTCAAATGTGACGTTTCTCAATTTGTCATTGTTTACCGCAGCCTATATTCTCCCAGCCTTAGCCTTACTAATCCCTCTGAGGTGAATCCTCTCTCATTTCAGATGTCTTTTGTCAGGGCCTGTCTCTCTCATCCCTCCAGCCAGGTGATAAAAATAATACTTTGAACTGCTTTTGAATCAAACCTTTGAGACATTTGTTAGTGTACGCCTGTGAGATGATCAATAAAGAGGTATCTTGTACACCAAGGCATGCTACAGTAGGGAGAAAGCTGTACTTTTTTGCAAAACATGAAAACTGAGATTTTATTCAGTGGTTCTGTTGTGGTTATTGGTAAGACATGAACATACCTTTCAAGTCTTGAATCAAGAAAAAAGGCCACACTGACTTGTGAGCTCAATTAACAAACTAAAAATAGATCCATCTAAGCATTTAGCTGGTTTTGGTTAGGAAATTACTGTAGGATGGCTATGCAAAGCCTTATCCATACCCATTAAACTCTTGTCATAGTCGGCCACAAATTTAGGTCAAGTTATTCGCATTTTATGTCACAGATTAACACACTTCACGAAGAGGAAGCTGCTTTTTTAAAAGATTTTTCTAATTAGATTCTAAAAAGTGGGGTTTGAATTTGTATTAGTCCATGACCTCTGATACTATATGTTAAAATCCAGTCCAACCTAAACTTTGAAGCAAGAATAGTGTTTAACAAAAAAACAGTCAATGAGCCAACTCTGTAGGAGATGAATAGACAAATGACTAATTACTAAAATTAGAAAAAGTCATTAGTCAAATACTATACATCTCTGAGGTTTATCTGAAAGTCTTAAGTAGATTTATTTTTAAAAGAAAACAACTTGGAGTCCGGTTGTCAGATTGTATAAGCCATGTGGTAGACACAGCAAGTTAGTAAAAAAATGGGCAAATTTCAGGTGAGCTAAAAACTTTCTGGCCAACATGGTAAAATATGGCAAAAAACAATTAAGTCCTACTCATACCTTTCCCACTGTATAATGAAAATTGTGGTTGAAGCTAACTCCATTAGGGTTTGTTTTGTTCAGCGGGGAAGCTGATCAGAAAACTTTTAGTGCTTATTATTGCACCTTTACTGTAGCTCTAAAAACCTGAAACTTAGAGCTCAATGAAATGTTTTTTGATCAGAGCATGCATGTTTTAGGATGACCCAGTCAAAATCCATGGCTAAATGCGGTTGAGAAAAATATATATTTTCCCCCTAGCCTTTTAAAAGGTTCTTTTATGGCATGATGTATTCACTATTTCACCATTTTATTCATATTCAACTTAAGCTAGAAGACAAGTTTTTATTGTTTACTTACTTGTTGGTGTTGATGTCAGATAGATACTTTACTCTTTGGATCTTTGGTGATATACTGCATCTGCAGAATGATTGTTGCATAATCTCTCAGTGATTTCCGTAATAAGGCAAACCTATCTTCTGCTTTAGCCTCTTGACGGTTGGCCTGATTGAATACCCGTTCATTTTGTTACAGGCTGAGATGGGTTGCCTTCTTTTATTTGGTGAGTGTTGACTGAGAGTTGATATGTATGCTACAGGTGGGGGATGGAGTAAGGCACCCTGACTGTGAGGGTAGAAATAGCAATGACAGCAAAGCAGCTCCAAAAGGTACGAGGTGGCCCCTCTGGCAGTTTCTGATGAAGGGGTTCGGTTTGTGGTGTAAACTTGATTGAGAGCTCTGCTTCTCTAGTCCTTTTTCATTTTCAGGGATTTAATCAAAGTATTCAAAGGTACTTTTCTTTTTGTGTCATGGGTGAAAGAATGAAGCTACACTTAAGGTTAGAGTTGATCTTGTACCACAGTTTGAGAGTCAAAGCCTCTATTCTGCACTGGAAAGAATAAAAGAATGACCTTTTGGCCTGTTGCGGTACAATATAATGGAAACTCTTTTACTATTCGGACATACCCTCCATGCAAGTTTAGTTTTAGCTAACCTTGTGGCCCCCTTATCTGGAGACTGATGCACAGATACAAACTGTTTTTTGAACCAGAATGAATATTGATGTAAGATATTTAGATAGAGCTTGGTTAAACAAGTGAAAAATAATATTTTCAAAATAGCTTTTTGCATTTACCAAGGTTATCCTTGTTAATATAAATGTTTAGTTTGTGATCTGAAACAATTAATAGAAAACAAAAGGAAAGAGAACGAAATGCAAGGAAGAAAATACTTTTTCATTGGACAGTAAGTACCCCAGAACAACCTTTGGCCGCGATGTTCTACCACTAGCCTCCTTTTCTGTGTTTGTCAGAGTAGCCACAAGGCTAACCTAACACCACAAACACCCCCCACCCCCATACACACAGCCCACACCCACCCACATACATACACTCCCACCCACATGCATACACACCATCTATACCTTCATGTAAGCTCTGATGCTGTATGACATATATACATTTAATGTTACTGTATTTGTTTCTGTATTTTTTTTCTTTCACCTAAAGGCAAAAAACTGCATAGTGTGAGCTAATTAGTGTAGGCTGTTACTGAAAAGGCTTGACAAAGGTCAGTTGTTGAGAGTGGCATTAGGTGAGGTCTCTGGAATGGAAAAGTGCACTCAGCCTTTCATTTAATCCTGCCAAAAGCCCTCTGTGATATAAGACGATAAACCCTTAACCCAAACATCAAGAAGACTGTAGAAAACATTATACACCCGGAGCTTTACAAATCTGGCTTTATGTACCTTTGTTTCAGCTAAGTCATTAACTAGCCTTGGGTGACACAACAAGAATCAATTCTCCTCTTGTATAATTATACCATCATTTACTCTGATTCTATTGAACTTAGTGGTTTTATGGTACAGGAACCACCCTAATGTATATGGATCCACTATTTATCATGTTCATTCAGGTTACCACTCTAGGAACAAGAATTTCTAGAGAAAAAACAACATTAAAGTAAGAAAGAATGGGATTCAATGAGGGGGCTTTTCTTCTGGGGTTTAAAGAATAATACTAAAAGCATTTGTTTCTTTAGCATTGACCGCTTAAAGCAGTGTTCACAGCTTTTTTTTTTTAATAACATGTGTGGGGTTGTACACCAGTCAGCATATACATATCTAAAGAACTTATATATTCTTATGATGATATATTAACATATACAGCTGTGATATAGAACGAGTAAATGAGAAAAACTAACAAGGGCTCAAAGTAGTACCTGCGACTAAGAATAAGGCCCAAGTTTTGAGAAAAATCTATACGTCTAGCCTGCCATGCATATATGCATACACACATACACTGAGATTTACTAGGTCTACCACTTCTGCTGAGTTGAATGCTATTGTTTTAAATGTTTTGGCTTGTTGGTTTTTTGAATGGTTGGTTTGTTGGTTGCTGGATTTTTTGGTTGAATGGATGGTTGGTTAACTGATTTCATGGTTGGTTACTTGACTGGGTGGTTATGGGTATTTTGCAACTCCTTTGAAGTGCCATGGTATACATTAATAGCTTTAAACTGAAAAATCTTTTAACTGTCTTTTATCTGAAATATACGTTGTTTTTATATTTTATAGAAATATGTCATATATTTGCAGCCACAAATAAGAAGTGTATTGCTTAGTAAGCCTTTTAAATCAATACTCCTGTTTACTTTGCCTTTCCATTATTTCAGCTCCACCTCATCTCATTGAGAAGCCCCAAGATGTGCAAAAGCTCATCGATGACTCACTGGTGTGGGAGTGCAAAGCCACAGGGAAACCAAAACCCTCGTACAGATGGATGAAGAATGGAGAAAACCTGGAGTCTGCAGAGGTCAGTTTTGACAGATTTTTCCACAATCTATCTGTCATTCTTTAAAGAATACAAAATATCAATGAACTCTATATTATTACAGTATTTACCTCAAGAAAACCCAACCATACCCTGCTGTGCTTCACAGTTCAAATAAAAGGGACAAGGGTTTAATGATAGTCTGAAATTTTATGTAAAAAGCTGCACTAATAATCTGTTGAATGTCTTTTCACCAAATCAATAAAAAAAAAAAAAATAATAATAATAATAATAATAATAATTCACTTCCATCAGAGATTAAAATGAAATTTTTTTTGTTTTTGTTTTTTTCTAAACTGGAAACTTAATTAATTCCTATTTGCTTCCTGTCCCATTAGTGTTCCTACAAGAAATACTCAATTTCATTGCATATTAAAAACATAGGATATCATAATTTATTTTTTATATTAGATTATTACACAGTTTTTTTTTTTTACTTTTTCACTGGATACTTTTTAGCTGACTGATTGGAAACCGAGACACAGTTTGCACTTTATAAATAAAGTGTCATTATGTTAATTTGCTTCATTATGCAAAGAAGTTGACAAACACACCGGAGGATATAGATCAGTGCTTGAGTGTTCTACATGAACTCGGTCTGTCGCCATATAACCGGAGGCAAAGCTCCACTCAGCCCAGCCTCTTTCACATAAAAAACAGATTTAGTTTACTGTCAGGGGAACACAATCAACAGTCTGTTTTGCCAACAGCAATGTGTTTTATCAACACCTTTTTTATGATGATGCAAAAAAAAAAAAAAAGAAAGAAGTCTCCCTGTTTGTTATTAGGTAGTTGTTTAAAAAGATTTAATTTTCTATTACATGTGATAGGATTTATTTTCTTATCTTTACGTGGGAGTACTTACCACTTTATGATGAGATAAATAAATTCAACGGGAAGTGCTTGGAGTAAACAGCTGACATACTCACCCATCTGGGGATGAGACAGTGCTGTGGTGTGATTAAAGGTTACATTGACTGCCCCGATGTTTGTGCAGCACATTTCTCCTTAATACAGACATAATAAATGGATAGATTCAGAATGCATGGGTGAATGGATTAATCAGGGAAGGTGCTGCATTGTTCGAAATGCCACCATTAACCACTGCAACTTAATGAGTGGAAGAGGGAAAGGTCAGCAGTGTGAGGAGCAGTGGGGTGGGGGATGCACCAATGGTTTTTATCTATTTCTGAAAACCCATGGAGTTGGTTTTGAGTTGCTTCTTCACTGGACAATTCTCCCGACTTTAAGAAAGAGCATTCACCCTGTAAAAAGGAAAGGTGCCCACGTGTATTGCTGATGCTGACCCGTTGTTCCTGTATTAAAAAGATTTGGATTCTCCTTCAAAGTATAAAAGTGAGGGTTGAATGGAACTGGAGATCAATAGACAGATCCGTGTAGCTGCTGCTATAATGCAGACGCAGTATGGGTCTGCTGTGGTAGAAAGGAGAGTGAAAAGACAGCGCTCTCTATTTACTTTTCGGTCTACGTTCCTACCCTCACCTGTACTCAAGAAATCTGGATCATGACGGAAGGGATGAGATCACGGATACAGGCGGCTAAAACAAGCTTTCTCTCCAGGGTGGCTGGGATCTCCCGTAGAGAAAGCTAGTTTGGAGTAGAGTGGCTTCTCATTTACATGAAGGGGAGTCAGCTGAGTATGCTCGGAAAACATGTTTTTGCTTTGGCTGCTGGGACGCTAAGTGGACCGGACGAGCATTCGAAACGGAGCAAACCCGACCCGGTGATGGTACGCTTCCCCTGCCTGCCTTACCGTGCACGAGGCCGCTGGTGTCGGTTTGGGTTCCGTCGCTCTATCCAACGACCAGCCCCGGAGCTCACGGCTCAGTTCGACATGCTGCACTGTAGTCGACCAAAATCCAGCAACGATTTTGAAATTCTCCCTGGATGTTTTTTTAAGTATGAAAAGTAGGACATGTCTGGGAAAAAGGGCATGTCTGGTCACCCTACCATATCAACAATTGGATCTTTCAGTGACTCAGTGCTTGTTGCTATAATGCTTCTTTGCTCAGCAGCTTTGCTCATTGTGAACCAACCAATCAGTGCACAGCTCATCTAAATTTTCATGAGCATACCATAAAAGGAAGAAAACTTGTCGTTTCATTCTGGGGCTTTTAACCAGGATTGCATTAGGGCTCATAGAACAGCAAATATGCCATTTTCAGCCCAACCAACGTTACACACCCTATTCAGAGACCGTAAGGACCAGCACCAAATACCGTATATAATAATTCTATGACCCCTTTAAATGCAAAAGAGGATATGCAGTTCAGACTCATTAAAAACTGTTCTATAGTAACAAAGTATGTCCTTTTTTTAGCCTTGTTAGCAGCTAACAATAAGCATATCTGGCTATTCTCATCATATACTTACAAATCATAAACATCAGTCTGTCACAGCTTATTTTTTCCCCACATATTACCAAAATTCTAACACACAAGCAGCATTTGTGGCTCTTCGGATGCTAACGAGCAAACACCTACATTAACCGGCTCAGTTTTTATGACATGGGAATAGTAGGACTACTTTGATTTTACTCCAAGGTCAGAGTCTCAAACATTCACACACTTGTAACTCACATGAACAGGAATCGAATCTGGATAGAGAGTTCTGGGAATACCTTCAGTTAGGCAGGAGCTATCATGTGGGGTATTAACCCTTGTTAGATTACAAGACCCATGCCTACAACTGTTTTTATCTGTAGGCGTACTTTCGTTGAATTAGCCAGCACCAAAATACAAAAGTTTCAGGAAACTGGATGCCTTATGGATTATATTAGCTTTTTGTCTGACTTAAAGCAACAATGCTTCTGTTTCAGTGTGAGCATTCAGCGTAGTGGTTCTCTGATTTTTACCTGTCTGGGTAAAAAAGCGATCGTTAATTGAATTTTTTCGTTTTTCGCGGCTGTTTTCAAATGAAGGACTTCACTCTCCTATGCTTTTTTGACAAAGATTACAGGAGTAAGAGGCTCTACAATTAACGGGAAACTACTCTGTAAAACGGGATTAAGTCTATTCAGAGGAGTATTTAGATGAGTACGGGACCACCATACAGATGGGTTACCTCGTGCACCTGAACTCCTCTTTGCGTTCAGACATCTGAAGATAAAGCCTTAGAATTTAGGTAGTAAGTACTCTCATTAAAAGCAGGTTAACTGTGCTCTGCAGCAATCTTGGTAGTTAGGATTCTCTGATTTGCTTGTTAATTTGTGCTGTAGTGCAGAAAGGAAGCTCAGCTTAAAGGTTTTGTTCCTCTGCTGCTAAGCCACTTGGGAGCTTATTTCATGCCTGCTGATGTGCTTATTTTTCCGTCAAGCACAAACGGTAAATTAATCAAAGATCTTTGGAAACAATTAGAAAATTTATATTACAGTTCTGCTTTGGTGAAGATTAATAGTTTCTCAAGCTCAGCCCAGTAGTGACATTTTCCTTTTCTTAATGTTTTGAAGATCAAACTCTGGAGATTAAGATATGTTTTGATTGTTTCTTTTTGTTCATTTTATATCCCCACATTTAAGAAGAACAGTGAAGAGACTTTGCTTTTTCTTAAACCCTCAGTCAATTCCAATTGACTTTGAAGAAGAAGGCATGCTGATTTTTTACATTAGTGTCACACAGCCACTCTAAGAGATTATTTTAGATTGGATGGCCTGGAAAAGTAGGAAATTAGATTTGGAAATCAATTCTTTTTATAAATTATTTGTTTAGCAATCCATACATTTAAAAAGAATATAAGGACATGCATGCTTTAAACAGCCCAGTAGTCAGACACAATAATCTTATATAATCTTATATTTCTTGACTAGAAAAATATAAAATTTTTATCAAGCAAATCAACTGTGTTGCTGGCACATGACATTGCCAATCATATTCGCTCCACAGAAGGACTGCAGATGGTCCCCCCAGGTCCCAGAGTGAAAATCTGCTGATTTTAGAGGAACGTCATGGTTAATTAATAGCAGCTGTAAATGGGAGTGCTTCCCTTGTGCAGACTGATATCCGCCACCATTTGCCTCGCTCACCAGAAGGGATCTTTGCCTCTGCACATCCGGAGCTGCTGAGCATTATGGAAATTTCAGGCACAACCTGCTCAAATGTAGGATTAGTTTGTGATCTTTCAGTCAGGACAGCCTCCGTTTTCATGTGACAGCGCCTTAATCCCACTCACGTCTGCAGTTCAATGGGCTTTAATGACAGTGAAGGTGAGCCAGAGGAAAACACAGGAGATCGAGGGCACTGAAAACCAAAACTTCACACGGCTACACAGAGATTTGATGACAACCTGAAAAACATTAAGTAATCATGTTAAGCAGACAAAGAAGAGCTTAAGATAAGAAACAAATTTTACCCAACCTAAAGTAATCAGCAGCATTGGGTTAACTTGAAAACACTCTTGCAATAGTGGCGTGCCATTAACACTCATGAAAATTGACACATGATTTGTCTAGATTGGCTGAAGTCTATCATCTTCAAGATGAATTTATATAAGTTGACCTTTATTTAGTCATATCATAAAGGCAAGCTGTAATGTATTTTGGGGGGATTTTGTTTGGTAGAATAGCAAAAAGGGTGGTTTACAATGTATTATGTGTCATTGCTGTGTAGAAGTAGCTTTTGCTAATATCTGCAATTCTTATAGGTAGGTCCCTACCAGCTTTTCATATCCACAAACTTAAATGTTTTTCAGTTCTTTGCAGACTACTACATAAACATCAGTTTGCAACTCCGGTTTAGACTTCACAGCTTTCTTCCTGATCAGTCTGCTGTGTTTCTTTGGTCCTCACGAGGGTGTTACAGAATTCATAGCTCCAAATGGATTTTTGACTTTAAATATTAATAAGGTATACATACTTTTGCAAGGGACCGTACATCACATAAACTGTACATGTTCATTACTTTATTACTCAACATGCATATCAACTGCAAAATCAATAATGTCTCACAATCCCATAGACTAGGATTTACTCCCTGTGGGCAGAGAGGTTACAGGCAGGAAAAGGATAAAGATGGATGCCACAATGTGAAATGGCGAGGTGTTCTGTACAGAATCAAAACATACATTAATGGTGAATTTTTGTGCACATAAAAGGAATCCATCTATTTTCCGTCATGCTTATCGCGAGCAGGGTGACAAGGGCAGCTGGTGCCTATCTCCAGCTGTCAATAGGCAAGAGGCAGGGTACAGCCTGAACAGGTCACAGTCCATAGCAGGGCAACACAGAGACAAAGAGGACAAACAACCATTCACACACACATAAGGAAAATTTAGAGAAGCCCATTAACCTAACAGTCGTGTTTTTGGACTGTGGGAGGAAGCTGGAGTGAGAAACCAGAGAGAACCCATGTATGTTCAGGGTGAACATGCAAACTACATGCAGAAAGATCCTGGGCCAGGAATTGAACGCAGAACCCTCTTGCTGCAAGGCAGCAGTGCTACCCTCTGTAACACTGAGCAGCCCTGCTGGAATTTGACTAAAATTTGAACTTGGTCCAATGATAGGTACTAGTACAAACAGCAAGTACAGTATTTAGGAAAACATGTTTACAAGGGATAATAAAGGACATGATAAACGGGATAACAGCAGCTTGTTAATTTCTGTTGCCGATATGGTTTTTTTTTTTTTTTCCATAGATATAGAAATTAGTAGAGGGAGGGCAGGTTTGAAATTGTGCGAAAAGGTCTTAGGTTCTGTAAGCAGAGTTTCTTACTACCCTAGCTTCAAAGTTTTGTCGTGTTTTTTTTGTGTGTGTTTTGGTTCAGTTTGGATATTAGCACTCTGAAGGCAAATGTTTTGCCAGCCCCTGAACAGGATTTGTGGGGTATGTAGATTAGTTAGTTGCTTTTCTTTGGGCATAAATGGTGTACGGAGGGATTGTTAATCCTGATGACAGTTTGCATGACAGTTTGGACCTGTAAGGTTTTGTAGATGAAACAAACCACACAGACTGAATTCATCAGTAGCTACTTCTTGTAGTTCCACTGCTTCTGATGTTAATAAACTTGATGAAAGTTGAATAAAGATGTGAAATAAAGTTTCACTGTTTAAACTACAGAAAATAATAAGATATGAAATTGTGGCAACCTGGCGTTGTGCTGCTACTGTAATTATGCTGCTTTTGCTTCAGCATCAGATTCATACAGAGGCAATGCTACTAGGCTTCTTTCTGTATACAGTAGCTTATTCAGTGATCCAGCCCAGGTTCAGCACATCCACAGTGGCTAAACATATTTTAATGTGAGGTCCTATTGATGAGCTTGATTTCCCCTGCAGGGGACCAAATCCGATAGAGCAAACAGATGAAGTGCAGCTGCAAGCATTACGGGGTACACATCACTTAGTATGTAAAGGGCATACCTACGGGATCTGCAAAGCAATTTTCAGATGTTATTATATTCCTTCCCC